TAGTAGTAGTAGTATTAGTAATAGTAGTAGTAATGGAAAAATCAAATCAATTCATGATGGCAGCCTACTAGCCGAGTAATTCTAAGAAGCACACGTTTTTTAACTAAACGGCAACGCGTAAAACAGCCAAATGTGATCAAAAATTCAGCAATTACCAAATTTCCACCGGAAGAGGCAGCAACGGATGGCGGTGGGGAGGCGGTAATAGGCGGCTTTTCGGACTCGTTGATCCTCCCAAGTACAGGCCGCGGGGACCATAATCTCGGATAAGAATGCTTTGGAGGAAATCCAAACCTCGCCTGTGGACTGGGCGTGGGGCCCCTAGCCCGCTGAAATTCCGGCTGCAATCCCGGTAAGTTAGCACCAAAAGCACGGTAAGCAGGTCTTCCGACGCCATTTGGAAAGCGACAAGGTCCGGGAGGAAACATCCTTGGTCGTTGTGTGTTATAGTTTGGAGGAGCCCTAGGTCCGAATTCGTAAGGTCGAGAGTCGAAATCGAGGTCCATGTCTGGCCTCGGGGGTCTTGGTTCAAAGCCCATGGGAAATTGGCCACCCCGAACGATTGGTAGACTGTATGGAGGGACAAACAAGTGTTGCTTCTTTGATGGGAGTAACTCACTGACAGGCCACAATAAAGACATGTAAACCTCATGGTAATGGTGTCACTCGGAAGGGAAGTTGCGGCCGCATCGTTTTCTGAATTTCATCCTGGAACTCGCCTGCTCGGTTCTATCCGCAATGACTTGATTATACACGTATACGCGCACGAAGACAGTTCAATATCTACGTACTGGAGGATACAACGGGCTTTTAAAAGCACTGAGATAATCCCAGCGTATGGACGAGTCACTATTCCTCGTCGGTATAATTTAGTAGGGATCTGACGCCCGTTGATAGGACCCCAGCTGTCCCTTTTCTATGTATCAATCCGGCCATGGAATAACAACAAAATGCTTTATCAATTCGGTGGTGTGAAGAAAAGCGTTTGAATCTAGTCGTGTATAGCCCCGTGAAGAAATGGCTGGAGTATTAATGTATCAGTCGACCTGGACTCCAAGTGGTGAGTATGACGGACACGGGTCCGTGCCTCAATCATTGAGCGTTGGATTATTTAACGCTCAATCACAAAAGAACCACGGTTTGAATCTCAGCTCGTCCAGAACTGCGGCTAGTCAAGACTGGCTAATGAGCTACAAATGGTCATCCCGGTCTCCGTTTTTGTCAGGACCTCCTTATGTACATATACTACCAGTCG